TCAAACTGCAGGGACAGGGAGCAGCAGACACCACAGGGACTACAATTATGACAGGGCATTTCTGATATATTGTACATTTCACCACCCTTCAGAAGACAGTGGCTCAAACTGAAAATAAAACTTGCGCTTGCCCAAAACTGTGTTTCAGAAAGCCCCCTCTATTAAACCTGAAACACCTTCCTTGGAAGGCTAGACTGGAAGAATCAGTAATTCCATGATCAATCAAAACCTCCTTTTGTTTCCCTTTTAAGTACCAATAAAATTAGATTTCTTTCTAAACCAAATTCCCTCCAAAATATTTCATGCATTCAAATTTTTTTGACAGATATAACAATTAATTAAAGTGAACCACAGATTTGTTACAAAGTGGAATATTGCAGCCTTAAGAAAACTTGGGGGTTATCGGTTTGTGTTAAAAGATAGCTGCCATCAAAAGATATCTGCATTAAAAAAACCCCAACCAAACAAAAAACAGAGCCAAAACCCAAAATGCATTTGGTCTACAATATTTTTAACTTTATGCAACAAAAGACCTGCCATTCCCAGCTAAACAAGAGTCAAGAAGGGTATTATTAGAACAGCTTTAAAAATAAGAGGCCTTTGAGTTTAACAACTACAACAAAATATAAATGGGAATTAAGAAACAAAACTGTAAGTCAAGGAAAAAAAAAAATAAATCAGTACTAAACATTTTGTCCCCAACCAGTTTGTGGATATCCACAGAGATAAGAAACAAGCTTCCCAAGACATCACAACTTTCCAGAAGGAGCCACCACACTATTAAGCAAGTTTTGTGTAATCAAACAAGCTACCACAGGACAGAGCTGTTAATCCTATTCCCTTTTGGGAAAAACACCTTAAGCAGAAATCTCTACTATCCCCAGTAAACCTAAGTATTTCAAGGTTGTGTTCTAATGTTCGATCCACCTTGCCAGAAATAAATCATAAAAACCCTAAGGAAAAAAAAATATGAGAGGTTACCTAAGTAATTGACTTTTTTTACACCTGGATCAACTTTCCCCCATCACTCCTGATATATGTTTGCCTGTTGAGGTGAGAGTCTCTTAATGAACAGCTTATTCATAAGTTCAGAAAGTCTATTTTCATGCTTCACTATTCCTAGCCATAAAGAACAACATCTCATAGTAACATGGAACCATCTCCACAGCTACCACTTAAACTCACTACTTCTGGCAATATTTGACAATTTCCATTTCTTTTTTCAACTTAAGATTTCACTGAGTCTTTCTTCAAAGCTCTGACCTTCCAGACTTTATATCACTGCTAGTATTCTGCTCTAGACTCCCCTCAGCCAGACCATGCATTTCTCAAAGCTGTGGCCCAAAGTCAGACAGTATTAAGGCCTTTCCCATGCTATGTAAAAGAAACAACTATTTAACTTATCTTTTGAGATATACTACTGCAGAATATTAGCTACAAGATGCTTCACATCCAGCTTCACTTTAACTTGTCCTCACAATTAAACAGGATGTCATTCACAGACTACGAAGTTAGTTCAGTCACTGAATACTAATGCACGAAAACATAATTGAGATTGAACATAAAAACGTATTCCCAAAACTACAAAAGCAGTGATGTAAAAAAACACTCATATGGTTTCAAGTTTCCAAATAAGTAGCATGTTTAATAGTAAACTCTTTAAGAGAAACAGACACTCTAATACCCAGCACCACAGGTTCCCTAAATGTTACTGCAACAAAATCAAACCCATTTTTACTTTATGTACCTACATTACATTAGGAGAACCCATCACTTACTTCATATTGGGAGGTTAGAGGTGCCTTTTCATTCTATCTTCATTTTATATATCTTTTCATCCACTCTCCATTTTACTCTTAAATCTGTTTCATAGGATTACGGTTTCTAAATTTATAACTAATATTCATACAGGATAAACTGCAGCATTGCTGCCTAGAAAACAACCATCCAGCAGCTCAGGCCCTCACTTCACAGCCTTCAAAGTAATTTTTGTCTTACAAAGAGCAGTTTAGGCTACAAAGCTCCGAGCACAGAAAATCCCATTTGAATTATTTAATATTGGTGTAAATAATCTCTAGCAACAAGAGCAGAACCTTTCCTCCCAGCTGTCACACACTCCTTACTATATATCAACAACCCTGTAATGCTCTGAAAACCTCCCATCCAAACAATCTCTTGTCCCGAGAATTCATGCTGGGGAAGAAGCCAACCTCTGCCCCTGCGGACGCCAGCTCACAGCCGAGGCCTCCCAGCACCAGCAACCAAACAGGGAGTGGAAGAGGAACATATTTCTTCAAAATGCACATGCACTTTTCCCAAATCCTCCTGTCTCTAAGAAGTAGCTATTTCCTGTATATTTTTTATGACTGCATGGACAACTACACTAACCAACCCTGAATTTTAATATAGGGCTTGAAAAAGGATTTAGCAATTATTATACTATTTATTAGAAGAGTTATAATACTCATTATTAGAAGATTTTTAGTAACAGCACTTAGGCTACCAAAGCAACTTTTAAAGGTAAAAATTCACTATTAATTCACTATGATTAAGAACTGGTCATGAGTTGAACAACATGGCTTAAATGTTGTTTTTCAAAGCCCCAACCCTTGAGAATTCGTAAGAGACAGTGATGTAGCTGTAACCAACACAGGGCACTCGATTACCATCTCAGTACAAAACATCTCATTTACCAGAGGGCTTCAACATACAAGTAAGTTGTATAAGATGACTTCACATCTGTCAGAAATTCTTGTCTGCTCCTCTTTTAAAAGCAGAAACTGAGTGTAGGGCTGAAGGTCTGCCTTCTGGAAACCAGAATTGCATCTCCCTAAAGACTGTAGGAGCTGAAACCTTTTCAGGGATTGCCTTAAATAAGTAAGGTCATGCTCCTTGAGAGGCTTCCACATCAAGGTTACTTTTAAACCCCGGGTTTACCTTGTCTTGAAACAATGAAACAAAACACTAGAACATGTACTTACATTACAGCCATGAGTCAGTTACAAGCACTTCAGTATTTCTCTGACTTATGTCACTTTGAACTTGCTACTTTAAGTTGGCTTGTTTTAGTATTAAGGATAGTTTCCATTTTAAGTGTGTCAGCAATTTTTTGGGCTTGAACTTCATTAAGGTACAGGTTTAGGTGAAGTAATAGGTGTACTTATACAGTAAACAAAACATAATTACCTACAACTCAAGGAAGAACTAATTAACTACAGAACAAAACCACATCAGAAAATAAAAACTCTACAACCAGCTCTGCCAAGAGACCCATGTGTTTCAATATTTCCAATGTAGAAGTAGTTTGCTTTCAAATAATACAAGACTATCCCCCCCACACTTCCTAAATACTTACACCTGTACTGACAGCCCATCAACCCTCCTGCTCAGCAGGTGTTCCCCATGCTGGACGACTTATCTCTGCCTCATCCAGGATGGAAGCAGAAGCAGCCACACTATGTAATTTACCATTTGGAATCAAATCTAATGACTGACACAGTCTCAAACATTTTTGAACTTCAAGTGACTTACAGCAGTTTCACAAACACCCCCTTCAGTATAAAAATTGTTTTTCTAAAAAAATTCTTGCCTCTTGCCACTGCTTTTCTCTCCCTTCTCTCCTATACTTTAGTTTAAGCAGGTCAGCTGTATTGTATTATTATTTCAAGGCCACAATATAAACCAGTTATTGGATTAATTTCATTTTTTTAAATGACAGAAATAACTGAGAAATTCAGAAGCTTTTTAGCCTCACTGTGCTGCTAAAAGTGTGCGTTTGTTAAAGCCCACTCTTCTGGTGTTTGGGTTTCTCAACCAGCAGAGAGCTTCTCCTTACTCAGGAAAGTTCAGACTGGACTAGCATTACTCAAGGTGTGTAATCACCATGCTGGGTAGGTGTAAAATACATGTGTACTGCTGAATTTTGCCTCCCTTCAGAAAGCAAGTAAGTCTGGAACTCCTTGAGATGAGGGAATCAACCTCACATCTTGCAAACATCCATAGGAATGGACTCTTGCCCTACTTCTCCTTTATGGCCATCTACCCAGCATGAGCCCCAGCACTTCTCAAACTTCCCAACCCACTAATTCCACTATAGTCCAGTATGCTATTAATAAATAAAATGGATAAATAAATTCCGCCTCCAGTCTTTGGGGAGTCGAGAATCAAATTGGACCCCTCTGAGAGCAGCTGGTCCAAGGCAGCTCATCTTCCCTGCTGGAAGGGAGAGGTTCCCAGGTGGGCTGGGCTCCTCGCAGGGCCACAAGGCTGCTCAGAGACCAGAGGTTTCGTACCAACAGCGCAGACACTCCAGGGAAAGCTGAGCTGAAACACTCTCCAGCCAGTAACGCTGAGTACAAAACAGCAGAGCTTCTAGCATCTGTATTTACCTCCAGAACAAACTCGAGGGATAGCATCTGGCAGGTTGGTCTGCCTTGGATGCCTGCAGTGCTTGAATCTGCGAAGCACCTTGTGTTGTTACCGCACAGTTTATTCCCCCTTCCGAAAACATTTCAGAAGCGTTCGCAACTCACACTTCAGCCCCAGCAAAACAGGTAGTACCGCTCGCTCCCCGTGGGATCGGGAAGTTAAGTAATAAGCCCCAAAAACACAGCAAGTATGTAAGAAAGACACCAACCAGAGGCCTGACATCCTCACTGCCTCCTCGGAGCCCTATCCGTTAACATTTCCTAAGACGCTTTGTGCAAAAAATGTCCACAAAAGGCACGTCCGCAAAGCGAACCGAACCCAGCCTCAGGTTTAAAACGCATTTCGAATGTTTCCAAACCATCGGGGAGAACCGACGGCAAACCCCCACATAACACCTTCGCGGGACGCGGCATCCGCGGCCGCGGAGGCTCCGAGCGGGGCTTCTTCGCAACCCGGCCGGGACCAGCGCCCTCCGCATCCGCGGCCCCCGCTCCCTGCCCCCGCCGGCACGGGCCGCCCCCGGCACGGCCGGGCCCGAGCCCCGGGGGCGGGCGGCCGCCGCGTGGCCTCACCTCCTCCGGGATGGCCGGGTCGCCGCTGCCGCCTCCCGCGTAGCCGGCGCCGAGCGCGGGCGGCTCGGGCTCCATGTCCCCGTTGAAGAGCGAGGCCCCCTCGGCGCTGCCGCCGCTGCTCAGCGCCGCCATCTTGGGCCGGAGCGGCGAGGCGAGGGCGGGGCCGGGGGCGGCCGCGTCCCCGCCACCGGGGCGGCCCCAGCCGCGACCCGTAGTGCGAGGGGCGGGCGGCGAGCGCGGTCCCGGCCCGCTCCCAGCGCCGCCGGCTCGTCACGGCCGGCCTCGTGACGTCACACAGAATCGCCGCGGCCACGGCGCATGGGCCCGCCTGACGTCACCGGGAAGCTCCGTGACGTCACGGCGCGACCGCCCCCGTCGCCCTGGGAACTCGGACGTGGGCTCGGGCCCCGCCCCCTCCCCGCCCGCCGGCGCAGCTCCCCCTGGCGGCGCTGGAGCGCAATGGCGGCGCCGCCCCCGCCGGGCCGGCCCCGGGAACCGGGAGCGGGAACTGGGAGCCGGGAATGCCGGGGCAGGAGGAGCCCCGACCACAGGCAGTTGCGGGATCGTGTTGAACACCACTGCCGGGGGGTCTGCGGGTCCTTCCCGGCAGCGGGGAAACACGGGGTGCCGGCAGAATTCAAACGAGAACGAACGGGACGCCGGGCATCCCTCGGCACGCAGCAGCGCTGCGGCTTTGGGGTGAATCCTCACCAACACAACCCTGCGGCAGCGACGGGCACGCTTCCAACACTGCCATGTTCACCTGCTGGCTGTAACTCCGGTGATAATTGAAATAATCGATCGCTGGGATCGATACCACATGGTGTTTTTCCTGCTGACAGCCCTTCAGGCCTTGGCTGCCCCAGCTGTGTTCACGCAGGGCGCCCCAAGCTAGGGAAGGGTCTGGCTCCGCAGACATCGGGACCCCTTGTAATCGTCGGGACCAGCACTGCTGACCCCAAAGCCGCTCCCCGCCTTCTGCCCAGTGCCATCTCTCCCCAGACTGGCCGAATGTTCGCATCTGAAGTACAACCTTGAGCTGTGTCTAATCCCTGTCTGCCACACCCATTGAAATGCTGCTTACATGCATAAAACACCTGCTAAATCAGGTGGTTTAAGCTGCTTTCTTGCAGAAAAAGGTCTTAATTATAAATTTAAAAATGGCAATTGTATTTGAGTGCAAAGAAAAGCTGATGGACCAGAACAGCTTTCAGAGAAAGGCTGTTCTAACACAGCCTGATCTATTTAATGGTAGCCAGCTAAAATACACTAGGTTGAAGCCTGCAAGTGCAAGATCCTTATCTCTTTCACTTCAGTTGTGAGCATGTAACCGCACAACCTCTGAACGTGCTGGTGAGAGAACTGAGGTTTATACTTCACCTTTCATACTGTGGGCCATCGCTGTGGAAAAGCATTTCAAATGCAGTTCAATACTGGCAGTGTTGCAACTGGTAAATAAATGGAACTTCAATTTAATATTTCAATGGATTTTAATTGATTTTTTTACAGGCTATGCTTGCTAAGAGAGGAGCCTGGGGTTTCCTGTGACTGGAGCCCTTCAGTGCAGTCAACAGAAAGGCTACACAAGTATGTAAGAATCAAATGTACAGACTAAGCAGTTGGCCAAGTTTAGAAATTTCTCTCTAATAGCCACATTAATGAAGAGGATAATTATCAGCAATTCCTGCTACGCAGCGGGAATGTGTAATGGTAGTGAAAAGTGTTCACAAACTCTGGAAAATAACACCCATGCTGAGGACTGAACACTGGGACAAGTCTCTCTGATCTCTGAAGGAAAAGGCAGCAGAGGTAATCGGAGATGGCTCTCCCAGCACATAGCCTGTTGTGGAAAAGCCAACAGAGTAATAGAGGATAACTAACAGAGTAAGTCCATTCATTTCCATGAAGTTGTTACCAAGGGATAGTTAATCTCAATGTACAGAATGTAGTCAAAGTCTTTTTTTATTCCCCAAGCAATTTATGTCCAGGACATAACCCTAGCAGTGGATTTAATAGACCACTATCAATCTGTAACCTGTAATACCTTTCCCATTGCTTTTAGTGGTGTTTGGTCTCTTTCTTCTGAGGTTCTGATTATTTCCAGTAGATTTGCATTCACTTAGAATTCTGCTAGACTTTCTAATCACATTTGATGTTCCACCAAAGAGCTGCAGTTCTAATACTGAGAAGTCATGTCCAATGCTGGAAACACAGCAGAATTGCCTCCAGAAATACATGAGAAAAAAAAACCAAACCAATAAACCACCAGCACCTAAGAACTACTTTAAAAGATTGTTGTGTAGGAAGGAGACAAAAATCTACTACTCATACTATGCTTTCCTTTTGATTGGGAGAATCCACACCTAGTGACAAATGGAATTTTCTACTCCTTCACATTGTGGCTACTTGGTTTCTCTGCTTGATCCATCATGATGAAAGATAAATAGTTAATAACTGTAGAAATTTCTTGGTGGTATGAAATCCTATCAACTGATAATTGATATCATCATCACCTTTTGCAGAGACTAGCTTTCATGATCAACATAGGTCAACATCAAATTACAACTTAGATGTGAAACCTCAGGTTTCTGCTATCAAATCTGTAGGCCACTGGCTGGTTAACTCCTGCAATGCAGCACAGCCAGTTAATCTGGTATTGCAGCAGGTAATTCAAACTTGTAAATATAAACCTGCCACCTCCCACCAAACTCCTGGTTATGCACTGGGGTTTGAGCCTCCTCAGAATTTTTTGAATTAATTTGAATTTGGATGATAAAACAAATCCAGCTGCTAAAAGACCAAGACTCTCCACCTAGGTTGCCCACCACCAGAACATTTGTCTGATCTAATCAACCTGCACTTTCAGAGAGCAATGTTTTAAGCAGTCAGTAAGAAAATGTATATGATTACCTGATAGCAGCTGTCTCATTGTAAGCATTTGGACACTTAATCACTTCTCAAAAAAAACCAACAACCAAAAACCAAACCAAACCAACCAACCAACTGAAAAAACACCAAAGAACAAACAACAAAAAACCCCAAAATCCCAAACAAACAACCCAAAAAACCCGCAACAGATCACCAAAACTTTATGAGATCTTTATGAGATGCTTCAAAATGTGACTATCCCAAAGAGATATTAGATGAAACTAAATCTTGGTCTCCTTTATTATATACTCTCAAGAGAAGACTATCTCAAAAAAACTCCAGCCTTCCACTTTCATAATCAAAACAATTACAAGATTTGCACATTGGTGTGATAATTGATATGATTTTTTTAAAGTGGTGTGAAAATTTGATATGCCTTCATCTCAGGATGTCTGAAGTGCCCTTAAAATTTATCCAAATTTCCAAAACTGCTTAGCCTTTTCATGCACTGAAATTTATTTGTCCTGTAAATTGTAGTATTTGTACTTGGCCCATGCACATTTGAACGTGCTTGTTTAAATTCTCAGTCATAACAGCAGAAATACAGGTCTGGATAATTTGTAAAAACACAGATTCTAATGACACCAGTTGTGTTCTCTGTTACCTTGGACAGAAAAGGTGAAGCAGAACAAAAATTAGGCTGTTGTCCAGAGTTCAGTCAATTTCTGATTACCAGTCAGAATAATACACACTTAAGAAAATTGCTTTGCTCTCCAGGAAAAGAATGTAGGAGATATTTTTAACGATATAACCCAGATAATTTTTTTCTTTTGCAGCTCTTCAGCACCTATAGCAGTTTATTATCTCTCCCACCCTAAGATATACTATACATGTTTAATTTTTCTAGGAATTGCTGTCTGATTGATCCATTTTGAGGCAATGGAAAAAAACAAGGCTGCTTTTTCCTTTTGGGTTTTGTTGGTTTTTTTTTTGGTTTTTTTTTTTCCCTTGTCCTTTACTTTAAACTATTCCAGTACAGAGAATATGTATTGTTTCCTTCGGAACTTCCTGAGAGCTAGTTCAGGACATTTATCATTCTGTGACACTGCTAAACCTGAAACGTTCATACCTTCAGTGTGAAATTAGATAATATTCAGATGGTGATTTAAACTTTGCTGCTGAACACTCTTATCTGTGTTTTTTTCAGCTAATGGGGATTTCATAGCTCTTTACCTCTGAGTTAAATACATGAGTAGAAGCAATGAGGATGGGTGGAGACTGCCAGTAAAACAGGAGCAGGGAAAACAAGGAAAAAAATGTGAATCCACCAGATTCTTAACTCAGTTTTCTTTCTACCATTAAAAGCAATGTTGACTTAACAAGCTTTATTTTATATAAAAATAATAGCTTGTTCTAGATTTTCTTGTCATAATCTTTGGACTATTTACATAGCTTTCATTTTATTCAAGCATAATTTATTTCAGTAATTATTTATAAAACTGCTGCTCTTCTCTCCCTAGACCCCAGCCCAAACCTTCAGAAAGTAAAAAGCAAAATGTTTTCTTTTGGAGACGTATGGGAGGCAGGAAAGGTGATGGGAACTGGGACATGGGAGTGACTTTGCCTATAGGCCCCTTCCATACCCTGCACGCCATTTGGTGTCACCAGAACCCAGTGCTGACCTGTTCCCTTCCACATGTGAATGCTGACTTTGGGGTCCATCATGTGAGTGCTGCCTCGCAGTGCTCTGCTGCTCTCCCTGCTGCTTCCTGCCTTCACTCATGTCCCTACAGGGGAAGCTGAAAAAAACAATATTTATTCAAAAGCAATGTAAATACCCACCTATGTGGCATTTGAGGGACCCTCAAGTGACAGTACGAGCCCTGAAACCACTGTGTAGGGAACAGAAGTAACAGCCAGCAGAAAAGGAAGGGGAGGAATGGGGTAAAAGATTAGATGGAGGGAGAATGCAGTCTAAGTAGACACTGGAGAAGAAGATGCCGCTCTCCTAGTAAACAAGAAGCAGATGAAAACAGGGAAACAAAGGAACAAGGAACACTGGTTTTCCTGCCTGATGTACTTTACTAAAACCTGGACCACATCTCATGTTTGCAAAGATTGGTCCAGAGCCTCCTGTTCCCATAGCACCCCTGGTCACTGCTTTAAAACATTCAGCTTGTTCAGATATCTGATTTCTGAGTCCTCTGTGTTGGACAGTGATAAGCTGATCAGCTTTAAGGACTAAACAGTGTTATATGCCTCACATTATTATTCCAGTGTGAATAATCACATTTTACAACTCAAAACTGTCCCATTTAGGCAGAAAACCCACCACTAATGTGATTGAGTGTATTCCAAGAAAGGGCAGGAAAGGATACCACCACAATCAAATCATTTTACTGTTCAGAAAATGACTGTTCCAATTATGTTCCAGTCT